GAATCAGGAGAGCTTTGGGTATTTGTTTCTAGTTCATCGTGACTGTGCCATGGACCAGTGATGGCCTGGTGGTAGAGTCGCTGCCCGGCAAGCAGTAGATGGCAGGTTCAAATTCCGCTCGTTCCAAGATTTTTTTCTGACTTGTTTTTCAATTACTTTTTTTTTATGGTCAGTTTTTATTCTTTTCTCTCTTGAAACAAATTATAATCATAGTACAAATTACAATCATCATATGTAACTCTCACTGCAAATGTGATGACATTATAAATCAGTATAAATTTTTGTCTTACAAACGGCTTCAAAAGAAACTTACATAGTTAGTTCCTATACATCATATTTGAAACAAAAATTCATATTTTCAAAGAAAACATATGCAGTCGTATAATCCAAAAATTTTGTTTAACAATGTAGCAACTTATACTTATTTTTATACTGTTGTCCTGAGAGAAGGTTTTCTTTTTTTGTTAACCCTACCCTACCCGACCTCTCCCTTATCCCCTCCCCCCCCCCCCTTCCCCCTCTTAACCGGTGGACGACTGGCTCTGGGTTCCAATTGTTTGTCTAATACTCAGGTTTTCCCATTTAGAAAAATGAATAGTGAGAGTTCCCCTCATTGCTGCCAATTTCCTTTCTTCTACTTTATCCCCTATTATACTATTCTTTATTTCATTACAGATCGATCAATCGATCTTATTTACTGGGTGTAAGCCACAAATATGTTTTAAACTATTAAGACCTATTATTATTATTTAATATTATAAAACTCGGCATGACACTGACATTAAATTGAACACAATGGTCCTTATTATATTGATTCAGTTTAACCCCCTCATTTTTTCTACCATCACGTTTAACAAGTTGAAAGCTGAGACCTCAAATTAACTGCCTTTATTAAACCTGAGTTTTAACATTTGCCTTAAAGGTAAAGACCAGTATTGGAAACGCCCCAATTTCAAAAAATGAAATGGAAGATCTTATTACCAATCATGTGAAAGAGTATGTTTTGACTAATACATGATGATAACAAAATTGCCGGGAAACCGCCTACTAATTGATATATTTGGTAAATTAGTTTATCTATTGGTGTGTGAGAGATAAACGCACGTGTCGCGCACATGTGCGTAGTCCCATATACATCTTTTTGTGTACAGTGCTCGTAACTTTACGAAGACTGGGCCAAATTTCTTATCATTTTGATGATTCCAGAACCTTGCAGTACACACCAATACTTCTATGCTAGATGATCAACCTTTTCTGATCGATTCCACAACGTTTCTTTCACAATGCTATCGCATGACCATAACTGGTCTTTATCTTTAACACAGTGTCAAGTTTTAGGTTGTTTGTTTCGTTTGTTGTGTACTTATCTCATTTTTAATTAATTGGGTTTGTCTTCGATTTTACAATCGATATTACGAAATTAAAACATAATATATTATCATTGTTATCTTATAACCAGTGGCTAAAATGCATAATTCAGAAAGGCGTAGGTATACTTTGTGCTTACGTCATGACTCTTGTGTATAAGAAAAGTAGAAAGACGGTTTTGGAATAACTTGTGAATACGTTTCCTTGCTCGTCCTTTGCTATATCAACAGCTATCAGAGGAACAATTCTAGTTGTCCAAGGCAGTGTCCCGTTACAGGAAGATTTGGTTTACAGCGTACATGTACAAGAGGTGTACCGTAACTCCCTAAACAGCATTGCGGTTAATGGGACTATTGATATCGAGACTAGAGTTTCAACTTGCAGAGTGGATGGTTTGGAGGCGGGTTCGACGTACCTGATTTCCGGATGTAAATATACTAAAATAGCGTCAATTATAATCTGATGCCCGTGGCAGTTGGTGGCACACGATGCGTTAATCATTTCGATTGCGTTATTATACATACGCAAATGAAGCTGAAGAGGCAATATTATTAGTCAATATGCTAGCAATGCAACATACACGTACCGTTTCGATTACATTTTTACTTTTCAGACAGTTTTACATTCATATTGCTCCGATTGTCTCATTTTCGCTCATTGGAACATTGCCAGCACAAACCACTGACCTCTACCTCCTGGACGGATCATCGCCCATTCCCATTGACTATACGTTACGTACTAAAAGGCTGTATTGTCTGACCGTTCATGAATATTCATTTTTTTGCTTACCTCGGCAAAATGTTTGCTTTTACTAAATGGAAAAATTACGATGGGGGTTGGATGAAATGGACATAATGAACCAAGCAGAAGTGAGCTATGATAATTCATGCTTCTTATCCTTCGTGTGCTTGACCTATAATCTTAAAATCGCTTGGCAAACTGAGTCCAAAGCTCGACTTGATTCACATGTGTATTATAGGCAATGACGAGCTTGCAACCTATTTTGATCAAATTACGGTGGGTGAACTTTCAAAAGTCAATGGGACATGAGGGTTCCAATGAAAGAGCTAGTGATAACGTACGTCGGGGTGGATGTGCTTTTCGTTTAAACAAAACATGAATTTTTAACGATTTTGTTTGTAAAATTCCATAGGCTAAGATGTTAGGCTGCTGACTCTGACGATAGGGGGCGTTGTGAAATGAGACTAAACGGAGCTATATGCAAATGGTGCGTCGAAAAACACGGCGCAAACATACGTCAGGCAGCTTACGCATGCCTATAAAAGAGTCGCACAGTAAACGAATATGCTCTATCCAATTTGCATTTGTGTAGGATGTTGTTCTTCATGACGCAGCATAATCAAAGACAGCACCAGTCGCTGACGCAGTCTTACGTCAAGCAAATGACGCCTCGTGTGCAGCTGACATTGGTTTTCTGATTTAGATAATCTGACAGCTAGTATGAAACAATTTACTTGAAAGTCATGGTTCATTTTTGTTCTTAGATCAAGAATGACTTTGTTTTAAGTCTGATCAAAAGAGCGCGGTTGTCGTCATCAAAATTGTACAATCGAGAACAGGATATCATAATCAAGTGGACTTTTGATCTTGCTCGCGCGGTGCTCACATCGTAGAAAAACAGTGTGTACCAACAGATTTTATCTCCTCGACTCGGATGCATTAAATTGTAATATCTGACAATGCTTAGGTAATATGGGTAAGGAAGGGCGCTGCATTATTACTGACGTAATTAGGCCGCGCGACGGTTCAGAGCCAAAAGGGCATTATAACTATGTGAAGCATACGAGTTAACGCCCTTCTGGCTTCAAACCGATGAGGCCACCGTGGGTAAATCAAACTTAAATATAGTTACCAGTAGGCATAATTGCAGTGCCCGCAGGAAGAGCAGTATTAATACTGATGTGGCTACCCTGGGTAAATAAGACCCATTTTAATAACTTTACTGTCATCTTGTTTTTATTCATAGCTATATACGATACATCATACTCGATTGACATATGCAGTTCTGTGGTCGTGAAGTACGACGATCCCGACGATGCCAATGATTTGGGCCTCCCGTGCTCAGCATCGTTGACCACCATGACCTCGTACGTCATCATCGTCGGTGCCCTTCTCCATTTCATCCTTCGCTGATGACCGATCTGACCGGTGAACGGGCAGCGGTGCAGCTGCGGTGTATATATATAGCGGTGTATTATGTAATAAGCATAACTCTATGCACGTTATCATTTCGCTACGTATAATTATGTACATCATTAATGTTTTGATAAGGAAAAACGTTTTCATCAGCCAGCTAGTTTTATAGCAAAATGAGACATATTTGATCTTTGTAAATAATTTGTTGTTAATTCTTGAGCTTCAGAGAGCTTCAGGAAATATAACAGAAGTGTGTGCAGATAAATGGATTGGAAAAAGCTGGCTGCAGCCCACCAGAGCCACTTTCCAGAGATGTAGCTAGACGGCCCACGAAGAACATATAGAAATTAAGAAACTTGGTTAAAAAATAGTCGACGAGACCGACATTTGTCTTTGTTTCCCTGATTATAGGCTATATCTTTTTTGATGTTGCTGTTATATAAAGAGTTTAATGGAAAAGGGCGCTGTTGTAATTGCTGTTGTTTTTTTAACATGGGAAGAAAACGCTTTGAAAGGGTCATGGAATACATGTGCGACTTACCAATCATGGTAATCAAGTTTGTTTCCGCTATCGAGACAGCAGACAGTGTAAGGGCACAAGGTACATACAAATACATGTGTGGGACTATGAACGGGCTGGATTTTTTGTGTTACTGAATTGTGCTCAGAATTCAAGTAATTCATCTATTAAATGCATGACTATAACAGACAAGAAACAAGTCAAAGGTAAGGACAAAATTCAGTGCTTATCCATATAACAGAAATTTGCATGAAATACCATCAAGAAAGCTATCTAAATTTGTCAGAAATTAGCGACAAACACACCAAATTCAGCGCTGCAATGACGCACAAAACGGTGTAGAATTCAACTTTTCATCCACCAAATGAATTCAAACACTTGCATTATACAATCTTCAATACCTGTATCACCGATATCGCAAGCAATAAAATCACAATCTAGATCTACGGCTACGGCTAATAAAACGTAGGGCCTACCCTTGGTGTTCTTGCTGTCTAGCGACCAATTCTTCGCACACGCACAATTAATAAATGTATGGTATCCGCGATCGCTCAAACCAGTTTTTAAGCAAGACCGTGAACTATTCCCGGTAACTTGAATTTTACCCTCGAACTATTACATGGGCGTGGCATCTTTCGTTTATTTATGGGAATGGCTAAAACCATGACTGCAATTTCGACCAATCAGATGGCTGAATTTCTTAAGTGAGGTATATAAAATCTTTTACTTAATACCGCATTCCTTATATATTTTACTCTAAATCTTGCATTGCGCTTAATCTAGCGATGTATGATTGCATGTCTCCCTTTAATCATTTGCGATTAAACGCTTGTGTAACGTATCATAAGCACGAGCGGAGGTCTTGTTCTTTTTTTGTTGTAATTCTCCAGCGTGTCTGTTTGAAATCGAAATAAGCACATAAAGGGATATGGATCAACAACAATACAGAGAACTTATGTGACGCTACTTGTTGATTTAGTACATACCGCTGTGCACTCTCGCAAGTTAGACAAATTAAGTTCAAGGATAAAATACCGTTCTATAACCGTTTCAGGCTGTTCATTGACTGGTTGGTTATTGTATTATTTGCTGTATTTTCTGATGTGAATTGTCCTGCAACAAGAAAAGGCCATGACTTATCCACAGCCCATCGATGTGAGGTTGGATTCAGGTTGCATGTAACTGCACATTGACAGGTAATTATACATATGGGGGAACTGCATTTGTATACACAAAGGAGTATTATGATAATACGTACTTTGTGCATGCGTTTGTGTACATAAGTGCACAAGCACGGATGATAAATGCAGTGTAGAGTTCACTTTAGATTTCACTCAGTCTATATCAGGCGCATTATGATATCACGACATCGATAATAAATTTCAATGAAATAACACTTCCTGAAGCGATTTGGCTTCATGGCGTTCATGATACGAATTAAAAGGGTAAACGGGGTGTAGAGTATTATTCATTGTATGTATTGGCGGATCCGTGATTCTCTCGGGGGGGGGGGGGTACTCAGATTATAGTCGGACGGGGATGTGCGGCTGAGACCTCCGAACCCATACCCACATCCAAGGTCCTTTTGCTGTAAATAGGTACCCATGTCTAAGGATTTTTTTGTGAAAAATGGACCCATGTCTAAGGATTTCAAACTTTAAATATTACATTTTTTAGCTGTAATAATACAATGGCCAATCATTTTGCAGTTTCTCAGTTTTTAAAAGGGTAAACGGGGTGTAGAGTATTATTCATTGTATGTATTGGCGGATCCGTGATTCTCTCCGGGGGGGGGGGGTACTCAGATTATAGTCGGACGGGGTGTGCGGCTGAGACCTCCGAACCCATACCCACATCCAAGGTCCTTTTGCTGTAAATAGGTACCCATGTCTAAGGATTTTTTTGGTGAAAAATGGACCCATTTCTAAGGATTTCAAACTTTAAATATTACATTTTTTTTAGCTGTAATAATACAATGGCCAATCATTTTGCAGTTTCTCGATAAAATTCTTTATTAGTAAAATATCATAATACATTTAGTTTACAAGTTTTTACACACATAAAGATGAAAACACCGGGCTGCTGGCCTGCCGGCTGCTGGGCATAGGGTAAGGGCAGGGTATAGCTGCCGATCATATCATTTTCAGCGCGCGAAGCGCTACAAGTTCCCGTGGGCACTACCCCTATACGGGCGGATACCATACCTAACGCGCATTATGCCATATGAGTACCCGGTATAGGGCCCATGGGGTCCTGATATATGTGGTTCCCCGGGGTCTAGTTGGGTTTACGAGCTACGTACACCTCGTACACGGGAAATGCAATCACTGAAGGATTCCCCAATATTGTTTAGGCCCCGGATTTATTTAGAGATGGGAGAGATTTAAGCATTTACAATGTAGGCTCGAGTATTTAGGAGCAAATCCCCAAATCCCGGAAAAAATGAGGGAGAAAAGAGGAGAAAGGAATAAATGAAAAAAGGGACGCATGTCGAAGGTTTTTTTTTTCAATGAAAAGGGGACCCATGTCTAAGGATCTTTCCTGAAAAAGTTACTTTTCCGAGCGGCACATCCCCGTATACCCAATATACGTGAGTCCCCCCCCCCCCCGCCCCCGGGGATTCTCTCCGGGATTCTCTCACGTCCCCAGTTTTAGCGGGATTTTTTAGGCACTGTACATACTAAGGTTTATTTAAACTCACAACTCCCTGGTTCAACCATCAATCCCCTTTGCATACCTGCCAACCCTTACGAATAATCCGGAATATTCCGTTTTTCTAGATTTCTAGGACCTGAAAATCAATATTCCGATTTTTCAAAATTTGTTGTTGTGTGTGTGTGTTAAAGCCAAGTTTAGGCTAATTTAATCATGTCCCGCGATTTGATAGTTCACATATTGTGTGCGTTTAATGACTGCATGATCGAGCAGCAAATTTGTATTCGTTTTTTGGTACAGATTTACCGCGTATTGCCGGTTTCACTGGCCCTGCAAGTGAGACTTCTTATTTTTGAAGGCATAACATGCTAAAAATTCCTACTTCTTATTTCAAATGTTGGCAGGTATGCCTTTGGTATGCGATATTTTCCATGGGGGCCAGCTACTGTTTAATTATGATCACTATCCTATATAGAATCATCACTACTCTGTTGTTGTGCTTGTGGGTGTGTGTTCGCGTGCGTGCGTGTGTGCGTTTTGGGTTTGTTTTTAAGTGTCACGGAAAAGTTTCATAAATACTTTTTTGACGGTTTTTATTCACATGTTTTTTTTTTTTTTACAGGAAACCATCAAAGCCGAACAGTGTCATAATTGGTAGCCATGGCAACACAATTGGTCTCCTCCACTCTCATCGTGCTCTTGGCTGCCATGTTGCACCAATCATCAGGATGTTCTTGTGATCGAAGTCCAAGATTCTGCATGTCAGACTTTGGTAATACAGTCAAATCTGCTTTAGTGACCACCTGTATAAAAAGACCACGTTTTTTGTTTCCCTTGAAAAATGGTTTCTCATTGAAACATGTACTAATGGCACCTGTACATGAAGACCACCTGCCTATAACGACCACTTTTATTGTCTCCCTCGGGTGGTCATTATAGACAGGTTTCTCCGTATCATCATTCTAAAATCACGTTTAACAAATGGAAAGCTTAGACCTTCCTTTATTAAACCCTAGTTTGGATATTTGCCTAAACAAATTGTCGAGTTTTAGGATATTTACCTTCTTTGTTTATCTCATTTTTAGTTAATTGGTTCTAGCTGTCCTTGATTTTACAATCGATATTACGAGATAAAAACACAATATTATAATTATAACCAGTGGCTAAAATGCATAATTCAGAAAGGCATAGGCCTTCTTTTGGCTTACGTCATGACTCCTGTGTATTCGAAGAGCAGAAAGACACTTTTGGAATGAATTGTGAATACTTTCCCTTGCTCGTCCGTTGCTTTATCAACAGCTATCAGAGGAACGATTCTAGCTGTCCAACGCAATGCCTTGACACAGGAAAATTTGGTTTACAGCGTACATGTACAAGAGGTGTACCGTAACTCTCCTCAAACAGCATCGCGGTTAATGGGACTATTGATATCGAGAATTCCGGCTACTCCTGCGGAGTGGATGGTTTGAAGCCGGGTTCGACGTACCTGATTTCCGGATGTAAATATACTGACATAGCACCAATTATAATCTGATGCCCGTGGCACACGATGCGTTAATCTTTTCGATTGCGTTATTATACGTCCGCAAATGAAGCTAAAGAAGGCAATTAGCAAATATGCCAACAATGCAACATACATGTACCGTTTTGATTTCATTATCCCTTTTCAGACGGCTTGACACTCAAATGGTGCGTCAAACATCACACCAGACGCTGGCGCAATCATAAGTCAGGCAGCTTACGCGTGCCTATGAAGGAGTCGCACAGTAAACGTATGCTCTGTTCAATTAGCATTTGTGTACGAAGTTGTTCTCATATGACGCGTCATAATCAATTGCTGACGCAGTCTTACGTCAAGCAAATGACGCCTCGTGTGCAGCTGACATTGGTATTCTGATTTAGATAATCTGACAGCTAGTATGAAACAATTTACTTGAAAGTACAGTAGGCTAGCGGTTGCACCATGTGAGAGAGAGGGAGGAGTGGGAAGTCCTGAAAGGACTCTCGATAATCTTTCTTTCTTGAATGTGTGTAGTCCTGAGTCTGATAAAAAAAAATTGTACAATCGATAAAACATGATATCAAAATCAAGTGGACTTTTGTTATGACACAATCTTTTCGCATTTGGTCTTGCTCGCGCGGTGCTCACATCGTAGAAAAATAGTTTGTACCAACAGATTTTATCTCCTCGACTCGGATACATTAAATTGATATCTGACAATGCTTGGGCAATATTGATAATTGCAGGGCTCTATAAAGAAGAGCACTGTATTATTACTTACGTAATTAGGCCGACTGTCTAGAAAAAAGGTATTATAACTATTTGAAGCATACGAGTTAACGCCCTTCTGGCTCCAAACAGACGAGGCCACCGTAGAATAATCAGACTTAAATATAGTTACCAGTAGGCATAATTGCAGTGCCCGCAGGAAGAGCAGTATTAATACTGATGTGGCTACCATGGGTAAATAAGACCCATTATAAAAATAACTTTACTCGCATCTTGTTTTTATTCATAGCTATATACGATACATCATACTCGATTGACATATGTAGTTCTGTGGTCGTGAAGTACGACGATCCCGACGATGCCAATGATTTGGGCCTCCCGTGCTCAGCATCGTTGACCACCGTGACCTCGTACGTCATCATCGTCGGTGCCCTTCTCCACCTCATCCTTCGCTGATGACCGATCTGACCGGTGAATGGGCAGCGGTGCAGCTGCGGTGTATATATTATATAGCGGTGTACTATGTAATAAACATATCTCTATGCACTTTATCATTTCGTTACGTATAATTATGTAGATCTTTACGGTTTTGATAATGAAACACGTTTTCATCAGCCCGAGGTTTATAGCAAAATGAGACATATTTGATCATATTTTACTTTTTAGTTCTAAAGCTTTCATTACACAGAGATAAGAGCTAAAGGAGATATAACAGAATTTGTGCAGAGAAATGGATCGGAAAAAGCTGGCTACAGCCCACTAGACCCGTAATTTCAATCTCCGGGGCTTTCTTGCCACTTTCCAGAATGTTTGCTAGACGGCTTACGAAGAAAGTAAACAAAGAAATACTGAAGAAATTTTAGAAAATAAGAAAGTTGGTTAAAAAAAAGTCAACGAGACTGATATTTGTCTTTGTTCCCCTTATATGTATCTTATTGCTGTTATATAAAGAGTGTAATGGAACGAGACCGACATTTGTTTTTGTTTCCCTTATATAATGTTCGCTAAAGGGCCGCCTTTGCGTGATGTTTGAATAAAACAATTCGGATTTGGGTATTACTTCGGTCTTTGCAGATTCAAATAACATCCCTAACAAAATTTATCATGCCACACATATCAGATATCAACAAACATTTGTGCGTGTGTGTGTGTGTGTGTGTGTGGCTTTGCTTCTGAAAAAAGCAAATGCAATGCATTTCATTTGATACATTCAATTCATTCTCTCACTCCGCTAATCCCAACATAATACATGCTGAAGGTATCACTTTGGCGCAAGTCATTTGGCACTCTCGCAAACAATGCCTCATACCACACAAAAACGATAACAAATGATTTGTGATAAAACACTCTTTCATAAGATGTATAATAATTTAATGTTCATAGGTGATTTTTTTAATAATTTGCAATTTTCTAAGTGTAAACTTTTTTTGACTCACACGGTATATTATAAATTGGGTAATACATTTTTTAGAACAAAAATATCAAAATGTTTTTCTGAATATGTAACCACCCATGCCGGGGTTCCTCAAGGTACGAAGTTAGGCCCTATTTTATTTCTAATTATGTTCAATAATGCTTGCCAAGATCAACCGTTGTTATGTTTTAAATATGTTGATGAACTTACTCTACTTGAAGGTCGAGCTTTGCAAAAACAATCAATATTACAACATGTATTGGATAATTTATTAAATGGACAGAAAGTAATCACATGAAACTAAACCCTAAAAATGTACTTCAATGAGAATTACATTCGTGAAAAATCCATCTATTCCCGAGATTTTGAGTATTGGTGATTCACAATTGTTATATTTAAAATCTATACAAAATTCTGGAAGTCTACATCCAACAAAATTTGAAATGGGACACTCACATAAATAAATAAGTTTTAAAAACGTGCAGTAGAAAATTCTACATGTTTAGAATGGTTGAGCAATATAAATTACCAACTCCTGACTTAATACAAATATATGTTGGGTACATTCCTCCTGTTTTAGAGTATTGCGCATCTGTTTTTAACGGAGGTCTTACTTTAGAGCACATACAAATTTAGAAAGAATCCAGAAAAGAGTTTGTCAAATAATTTTAGGTGAAAGTTACATAAATTATGAATACACTTATATAAATAATGAACGATGCCAACTTGAACGATTACGAGAAAAATTATGTATCGTTTTTGCTGCATCTCTAATTAAAAACCCACAATGCAAAGGCTGGCTTCCTGAACGAAAAACTGTTGGCATGTCGAAATGAACAAAAGTATAGTCAATATAAATGCAGTACCTCTCGTTTAAACAAAGTGCAATACCATATTTTATTGATCTTCTTGATAATCACTGTTTGTTCTAAGTTTTTCTTTACAAACCCAATATCTTTTTTAATTGTATATTTAAAGAGTTGTCTTTTTAATCAGACCAGTGTTTTATCTTTCATGGTTTCATTGCACGATTATGTAGATATGTTTTGTGAATGGATATACATATATATGTATCCTCGATAGTGGTAAACAGTTGTAGTTGTAGATAGTTTAGCTACAACATGTGCATCATTGTATTCTATGTTTTTCGAAATAAACCTGGAATTGAGGTAAAACGATTGAAATCGTGAGAACAGTATTCACAACTACAGATGAAATCGGAAAATCAGGGAAAAGAGACAGGTAAGATATATGCAAAACTGGAGCGGTGTAACATGCATTATTGACATAAACAAAAAAAGGGAAAAGATACAATACAATTCAATAATAACTATAGTTACAGATTGCTGAATTGCACAAAATAATATATACATGTTATAACAAATTCATGATAATATACATAGATCAGAAGATGTTAATGAATGCATTAAAAAAGGAGAAAGGTGACAAAGAGAAATAGATTATCAGACATGTAGGAGGAGAACAAAAAGGAAAAGAGGATAAACAGGAGTATAATGAAAGGGTAAAGAGGGAAGGAGAAGAAGGAAAGAGAGATGGAAAGACAAGGAAAATGCAGACAGAGAGAGAGAGAGAGAGAGAGAGAGAGAGAGAGAGAGAGAGAGAGAGATGAAGGAATGATAAAATGTAATTACATTGACGCCAAGAAAGAAGGAGTATATTATACACATTCGAAAATCGATTTTGAGAAAATGTCAGGTAAACTATAGACCCAACAGTTTGCCAAAAAGAGGGTGTTACACCCTTCCCTTCGAGAATTAGGGCATGGTTATTCACTAATGTTCGTGTAGCCCACGACGCGAAGATCCGATGGAACGAAGTAAACCGAACGACTTAATGGGACGATCGATTTAGTGTCAATTTCCTTCCCTTTTTTGTTGTTCCTCATGTCCTAACCCGGAATGAGCCGATGTCTTAATAGGGCAGATTTTCGCGAGTCAGAGGGGCAGATGTACACCTTGATCTAGCCCGAATAGTAATGTTTATGTCTCTAAATTATGAGAGTGCACGAAGTGAGCGAGCAAAAAAGGGTTCTTCCATCATTAATATACACAAGAATATATGAAATAAAAATATGAAAATTGTATATTTGGGCACCTCGCACGGCTCGCAGTCGAGTAGGACGATGGTCGGGAATTTTGTTGCCGGAATATAAAATTATGGCTACCGATTGTTGAAACTTTAAATATTCTAAGGGGTGCTCCCACCCGCCCCCCCCCCCCCCCCCCCCGACATCTATGGTCATATAAAAATAAATATTTACACGTAGATGCCAAAAGCATCATGCCTACATCGAAGACTATGACACGGGAACCGAGAGTTATTGAAGCAAAAATGCGACTGAATGATGATTATATAATATACAACTAGGCTTACGATTGCACCACGTGAGAGAGGAGGGAGAATTGGAAAGTCCTGAAAAAGACTGTCGATAATCTTTCTAATAGCGAACAAAAGATCACAATAGACCGAGACGAGCATTTGCAGAGGTCACAGTACTGTTGTTTACACGGTGTCATATTGTACTTGGTACGCAGGCCATACAGAGAAAGGTGTATTTCAATACGTGGAAAACTAGACTAGAACTTTGTAGAGTATTTCTGTTCATTCTCATTCTCATATTCTCAACACGGTATAATTTTGTGGATCACTTCATTGACTTTGTTCGACGACTTTAAAAGTTTAATCTGTTGCAGCAGAATCGCACT